CCTTTGGTTGCCGGTGGGTGCTCCCACATCGGGGGCCACCTATGGGACTCATTTATGGGGCTGTGCCCTGAGCTGGCATCCACACCCCGGGACAGCACCCACCCCCCACCCAAGGGTCTCTCTGGGCCCTGGGGCCAGATCCTGTCCCTGGGGGGGCTCCCTGGCAGCGCCGCCCGGGTGATGTTACCCCTGGGCACCGGGATTTACCCGCTTGCTCAGCTCGTGCCTATAAATAGGTGGTGGCACCTATAAATAGGTCCTGCGTCCCCCCCACCCGCCTCACCGGGCTGTGGGTGCCGGCCTCCATGGGCCCTGGGTGCCCGGCTCTGTGCAATGGGGGCACCCAGCTGCCCGCCGGGGGGGTTGCCCTGCTCCCCGACCCCTCCTGGTGCCGTAACCCAATCCCCTGGGCTTAAATACCCCGACCCCGCGGCCCCGCTGCTCCCCGAGGGGATCCAGGTGTCCAGCTTGGCCCCCAGGGATTAATGGCTGGTGGCCGGTGGGGGCCTCGAGCTCCCGCTCCTCCCCGGCAGCGTTACCCTCCCTCAGCCCATCCCTACAATCCCAGTTCCGGCCCCCCACACGCAAATCCTGCCCCAGGATGCATCCGAGCGGATTCCGGAGCCGCATCTCTCCATCGTCTTTATTTACAGCGGCCCCGGGGAGCAGGAGCCGGAGCTCGTTGGTGCCCTGGGGGGGCCGTTAGGTTTTCTTCTGCTTGCGACCTGGGGGCGGGGGAAAGAGGTTGGAGGGGTCAGGGCTGGGACCCCCACCCCGATTGCTGCCCCGGGAGGGGACGCGGGGGACACTCACGGAGCTCGTTGTTGTTGGTGATGGCGATGGCGGCGCGGGCGCGGGGGCCTTGCTGCGTGAAGTGGTAGCCGAAGCGCACGACTGAGGGGCACTGCTCCAGCATGGTGGCCATCTCCATCTCCACTGTGTCACCCAGCCGCTGGCACTGCGAGGCCGGGGTGAAACCAGGCACACTGGGAAGTTTGGGACACCCCTGTCCCCTCCCTGGGCCACCCATGGGTGCCTGTCCCTACCTGGTTGTCCACCTTGAGCTCGCTCAGGGTGGTGTTGTGGTACATGGCCTTGATGATGCTCATCATGCCGGCGCTGGTGATGAAGTTGGATTCGATGTTGAGGCTCTGCAGGGTCTTGTTCTCCATCAGCATCTCGGCCACCGCCTGTGTGTCACCTCAGGGTGTCACCTTGGGGTGTCACCCAGGGCTGGCACCCCGCCTCCGGCACGTCCTGGGCCACCGGTGCCTCAGGTGGTGGTGGAAAAGCCACCGTCACCTGGGTTTGCTGGTGCCCAGGATGGAGCTGGGGACAGGGGACCATGTCCCCTCCCTGTCTGGGGACATGGGGGACATGGTGCTGGGACTCACACTGGCCACAGGGTCGTTGCTGCGGGTGGCTACCAGGCTGAGCTTCTTGACGTGGGTGTTGGTTTTCATGGCCTCACAGATGGCCTTCAGTGTGGCGATGGGAATGTCCTGCAGCAAGGGGACGTGGGTGTCACCAAGGGGATGGGGACATCCCTGAGGAGGGGATGTGGGTGTCACCAAGGGGGGCTAGGTGGCATCAAGGGGGTCCCTCACCTTGATATTGTTGAGGTTGACGTCCTCCAGAGCCCCATCGTTGGCCTGGATCTGCTGCAGCGTCTCCTCCACGTTGGTGGGGTTCGGGGGTTCGTCCGGCACCGGCTTGTACGTATCGGGCTTCACCACGCCTGGGGCACACGCGTGTGCACGGGGACACACGTGACTGCGCACGGGGGCACGGGCACATGGGGACATGCGCATATGCACACGTGTGGGGGGTCACCACAGGGAATCCCAGAGGGGTTCTGGTCCCCAAATCCTCCCCAAATAGCCCCGTGGACACCATGTCCCTGTCCTGGGGGGCTCGTCCCCATGTCCCTGTCCCGGGGAGCTCGTCCCCCTGTCCCCATGTCCCCAGGGCACTCACTGTTGATGCCCTCCGTGTTGGAGATGGTCCCGCTGCAGATCGCGTCGTAGTACTGCTTGTTGCTCATCAGCGTGTACATGCCCAGGATGGCTGCGGGACCGGGA